TAAATTAAACAAAATGTATAAAGCTGAGGATGGAGACAGGGTTCTCGCAGTCTGGAACAAGCGGCCTTCATGAGATAAAACAAGTGTGATAATACGCATGTGGAAGTCAACAAACAATTTTGAGGAGCGCGTCCTGTGTTTTCTACTGTGGGACCCAGGAATCAAACTTGGTTTTCTTGGTTTGGTTTGGTTTGGAATTTTTTTTTTTTCTTCTTCTTCTTCACCTTTTCACCAAGCACTTTTACCTATAGAGACATCACACATTCTTTCTTTTATAGAGCTTTTACTGTTGCTGTGATTTTTATATTATTTATTTATGTTTGAGAGGAGTCTAGAAGTTTAGCCCAGGCTAGCCTTGAACTTGCAGTGATCCTCCCATCTCAGGCCCTGAAGTGCTTGAAGCATGAGCTACCTCAACCTGGTCAGTGATATCATCCTGCTTGGTGATTATTATCAGGGATTCCTATGGGTGTGGTACAGATGCATAGCAAGACCCTGTTTCAGAAACAAACAACAAACCCAAATAAACAAAATCAAGATCTCAGTTGTTATCTGAGATAACCCGGGAATTCAGAGAATTTGAACTTTTAGCGTGAGGAAACAGCAAGAACCATCTTAGCATTCCAGAAGAATCTAACATGTCTTCTTCCTTTGAGGCCAAGCTCTCCAATCCCTTTGGCCATTACAGCAACAGGAAACAGACATAACTAGATGCTGCATCCATTTGTTATGCTGACCTACTTTTAAAAAGTGATGTAAATTTTGTTCTGTTTTGGGAAAAGGGATTTTTTAAATTGAAATTTTCTCCTTTTAAAATTCTGTATGGTGGTGCACACTTTTAATCCAGCGCTGAGGGACTGGTCTACACAGAGCATTCCAGGCCAGCCAGAGCTACACGGTGAGAGCCTGTCTTAAAAATAAGGGAGTAAATAGTACACAGTGCTCTTGAAGCGGACCTGGGTTGGATCCTAGCATCCTTGTTCAGGTACCTCGAAATTGCCCATAACTCTAGCTCCAGGGCATCTGATGTCCTCTGGACTCCGGGGAATCACACATATACTTCAAAAAATTTTAAAATTGTATCAAATGATTCTGTTACATACAGTGTCACTTAGCATGTAAGCTGTAGCTGGGCCATGGTGGCACAGGCCTTTAATTCCAGCACTTGGGGAGGCAGAGGCAGGGCGGATCTCTCAGTTTGAGGCCAGACTGGTCTACAGAGCCAGTTCCTGGATAGCCACAGCTACACAGAGAAATTCTGTCTAGAAAAAAATAAGTAAATAAATAAATATCATGTAAATTGTATTACTATATATAAAATAAATTATATTTTTATTTTTTCCAATTCATTTATTTTAGTGTATGGATGTTTTGTCTGCATGTATGTATGTGTACCACTTACATACCTGGTGTCCACAAAAGCTGGAGGATGTCAGATCCCCTGGAACTGGAGTTACAAATGGTTGTGAGCTACGCTATGGGTGCTGGGAATTGAACCTACATCCTCTGGAAGAGCAACAGTGTTCTTCCCTATTTAGCCATCTCACTCGCCTCTTTAAACACACACACACACACACACACACACACACACACACACACATATATATATGAACTGCAATTTTAAACTAGAAGATTAGTCCCATCTCTGACACCATGTCTTATAGCCTCACTCTGTACCACTGGTTGGGCTGAACAATGTTTTTTTTTTTTTTGTTTGTTTGTTTTATCACCTTGATACAAGCTATAGAAATCTGAAAGGAGGGAACCTCAATTGAGAAAATGCCTTCATAAGATCCAGCTGTACGGCGTTTTCTTAATTAGTGATAAGGAAGGCCCAGGCCCGCCCAGCTCATTATTAGTGATGCCATACCTAGGCAGGTGGTTTTGGGTTCTGTAAGAACACAGCCTTAGCAAGCCATGGTGAGCAAGCCAATAAGCAGCCCTCCTCCATGGCCTCTGCATCAGCTCTGCCCACAGGTTCTGGCCCTGTTGAGTTCCTGTTCTGATTTCCTTCAATGATGAACAGTGACTGACGTGGAAATAAACCAAATAAACCTTTTTCTCCCCAACTTGCTTTTGGTCATGGTATTTCATCATAGCAATAGTAATCCTAAGACACTCTTCTTTATTAAAGTGTTAATTTTTATCATTAAAATCCTTTTAATGTTAATTTTCAAACTACTGCATTAAACTTTCGTTTTGATTATTGAATTTGTGATAACCCTAGGTTGTGTACCCTTGGCAAGTACCTTATTACCCATACCTAAGTCTTAACCAGGTCAACACACACACACACACTCACGAAACCAGTGGAAGTACTAAAACCCACAACAGAACTGCCATAGACCAGAGAGCTCAAGGATAAAGGGAGGTCCTAACATGTACTTCTCTAACAATGCCGACCCATCTTGTAGTTGACAGTCTAATAATGTTATCCAAGTTTTATTAGCCCACTAGACAGACGAACATGAAGACAAACTTGCTGAAAACACAGCTTTTCTTCTGCTCATGAACTCGCAGACCAGCAAGGCTTTGTGTCCTCAGACTCAGCTGAAAGGCCAGGGATAGAAACACTACAGTCCGACTCACTGGAGCCTGCACAGTTGACTCTCACAACCGGGGCTGGAAGAGGAGGACTCTGCATGGAGCTTCTTCAGTGACAGCAGTTATGAGCACTGGCTGCTCCTGCAGAGGACCTTGCTGGGAACCTCAGATGGCAGAGCCACTGGCATCAGCTATTTAGTAATATGTACCAAATGGTAAATTTTAACAATTACACCGTTAACAATTTACCTTTCAAATGTAAAAGTTCACCAGAGTATTGTATGTGAACATGTCCAGAGGGGCTGGGTAATAAATATGACATTGCTTTTAATCCCAACACTCAGGAGACAGAGCTAAGTAGATCTCCTGTGAGGCCAAGCCGGTTTTCCTAGTAAGTTCCAAGCCCAAAGAAAAAGCAGTATCCAGAGGTTGGGCTACTGCTCTCAGTCATTTCTGTTGTTAGTGTAGTGTTTTGCTTTTTTGAGTTTCTCAGTAAGTTTGGATGTTAAGGCTCCATTAGGGATTCGTAATATGGGGGCTAGGGGAAGGGGGAGCACCTTGGAGCACCTTTCAGAAACTTCGGCTTGCCCCCCGCCCCCACCTCCTTAAGATCCCTGGGAAACTCAGAGAGGGGCTTGCATTGGGTCTACTCAGAAATGCTAATAACTGACTCACTGCCAAGACCAGTTTCCAGTATAAGAGCTTCCTGGAGCCCTGAGGTGGCTTAAAAGAGCTAAAAGCCAGGGGTGTCAGGGGACACTAGAGTGAATCATTGTGCTGTCCAGATATACCTGCAATCACTGCAACAGGGGCCGGTTCTCCCGAGAACATGAGAAGAGAGGGCAAGGTCAACCAGGTAGAAACCTTGAGTCTTTCCTGGTTGTATTTTATGTAGGAGACAGAGAGCTACTCCATCCTAAGAAAAGACTGCACACCAAGAATTGTGAATAGCCTGAGTTGTGCAACCGATTTTTCTTGCATCTATTCCTTCTTTTTTTGTGGTTTTTTTTTTTTTTTTTTTTGGGGGGGGGGTGGTCAGAGGCTGGCTTCCAACTATTTAACCTGGCCTGGCTGACCTTGCAGCCCAGATCCTCCCATCTCTACTTCCCAAACACTGGGATTACAGTATACATCACCACACCTGCCTTCTCTACCTTGGCACCACTCTAAGGAATCTGTAGTTTATATACAAATGGCTTCAGTATACTTGAATTCTACTTGACTGGACTCAAAGAAGCACCAGTAGGCCTCCCAGTTTCTTATGACTTAGAAACTTGAACCCAAGAATTTGTAGGAATGTGAGAACACTGGGCAGTTTAAGTATTGTTAATAATTAGGAAAGATAGTTAGATTTGTCTGGATTTCAAAAACTTGAGTCCCAATAAAAGGAATCTTAATGTTTCTGGTAGCAAGTAAATATGTTTAGAGAGGAAAATTTGTTCATCACAGCTGAGGATACACAGCCAGAAAGCAGAAACAGCAGGAAGTATGGACAGAGCGCTGGTTCAAGCCTGTCTGCCTGTAAACCTGGAAGACTAATGCCCTGAGCATGGAGCTGCTCTTCTGTCAGTCAGTCAGTACTATGTAAAACTCCTCAGGCATCCCAAACTCTTACACATCCCCAGGCTTCAGTCCCCACCCTAGACTCCTCAGTGGCCTCCTGGAGTCCCTGCCCCTCCCCCCCTTTTTTAAACAGGGTTTCTCTGTGTAGCCCTGGCCTCTTTGTAGAGCAGGCTGGCCTCAAACTCAGAGCGCCTGCCTCTGCCTGCTGCTACCATCACAGCCAGCCTTGGAGGCCCCTTTTCCACTACCTCTAGCCTCAGGGCCTTTGCAGAGGCTGTTTCCTCTGACTCTGTCTTTCTTTTCCCCACCCTTGCTGGAGCCTTTGACTGTCCCAACAAGGTAAAGATTCTGCCTACTCAGTCTTCTGCAGTCTTCTTCACACTGCAGGTCATTTGTCATTCCTCCCATGTCTGCACTGTCCTAGGCGCCCAGCAGTGCCAAGCACGTCACAGAGGATGCATGAATTCTGGCGAAGTGGCTGCGCACCACACAGAAAGCCATGGCAGTCCTGTGTCAACAACATGGAGGTCTCCAGAAGGACACACCTCCTGGGAGACAAGAGTATGACTAGAGACATGACAATAGCCAATCAACTGCCCCATGTGAAAACAGAAAAACCCAAGTTGGGGCTTGTTTCAGATTTGCTGAGCCCACAGATAGCACTAGGATGGATGGCCTTTCCCAGCCTCTCCTGGATTGGCAGCACCTTCAAACAGCAGGACAGCAGCAAAGCATCTTTCTAGGGTCACAATGCGTGAGGACCAAGAAAAGCCTCTTTCTGAAGAGGCTCAGCAGGCTGCATCCAGAACACCCTGAGCTAGGGAGGGAGAAGGTGTGGCTCACTCAGAGAAATATGAATGGGAACCAAAGTGAAGACAGAATGTAGACATCACTGGAAGCCTGTGAATGAACTTTATTTTTGAAAAAGCAATGATCAACAGTAACTCCACTGGGACAAAGTACTGGCAGCAGGGCAGGGCATTCTTCACACGGCGACATTCTAACAGTGACACTTTCTAGCCATGTATGTGTACATGTACTATTTTGAATTTCTTAAAATCACAACTGAGGTTTTAAAGAATGTAAGTTCTTAAAAATGGCATCCTCGTAGAATTGTTCTTTTAGATAGGCTTCAAACTATGAACAGCAAAAACCAGTTGTGAACAGTAGCACACCATCAGAGTACCACACAAACGCAAAGATTAGGCACTTTATCAAAGAAAACCACTTAGAAATACTGCAGATGAGGTCCTCTGCTATAGAACATTCTGCTGGTCCCTCTCTCTTCACCAATGTCATAGTTGTCGGGCTATGAAGAACAAGAGCCCAAAACTGAAACACCCTTTTTCCTCACACGAGGCAGAACAGCACCCCCTCTCCAACCACAGAAGACTGGCAGACAAAGGACCCCCTGAACTGATGAGGGCTGAAGCCGTCTGAATGACTGCTTAGGATTTCTGGATGGCACTCTGGCCAATCTGCATGCCCTGCATGAGTTCGCTGTCCGGATCCTGGGTGTGCAGAGCTGGCCCACACTGCTCATACAGCACATTTGTCGTCAACGGCTCAACAGTCAATGCCTTCCTCAGTCAAGCCACAGGTTCTCAAAGTTTGTCTGACCTAAGCTTGTGACACACAGACACAGCAGGCCACTGGACCACAGCAGGTGTGGTGAGGAGGGAGGGAGTGGTACTCCAGGGGTGTCAAGGACTCATTGGATGTAAGAGGTATAAACATCTATCGAGTTTCCATGTCAGGTGATGACAGAGTAGGCATGACTTGCCAGTGTCCACTACCAATCACAAAGCCTGCCTTCACATGTGAAGCCTTTCATACAGTAACTGTGATACTGATCAGAGGGTCACGAACAGAAGTCTTTCTAGAAGACATGAGAATGTAGTCCGGTATGCAGCTTCCTGCATCCACCTGTCCCATCGGCCTCTAAGGGGCTGTCTTGGTCTTTCCTGCCCGATGGGAAGCTTGCCACCAGCTAGAGGTCTTCTCTTCTGCTCCCAGCTCGATTGTCTTCCTTGGAAGCCCGAGGTTTGGGCTCTCCCTCCTTCTTCTTTTTACCCTTTTCTGGCTTTGTTTTGTTTTTCTCCTTGCTTCCTCCTCCTTTTCCAGGGTATACCTGTCCCTCTAGAGTGACATCAGCACACCTGTCTTGACTGATCAAAAAGTCCTTGATCTCCCAGGCATAGCTCCCATCCCGGAGCATGAAGATAGCACGGTCTGATCCCACAATGAACCTGGATGGAGAAGCCATCAGTTAGCAATGCAAGTAAGGTTCTAGGGCTCAGAGAAAGTTGGGGCACCTAGCCACATTTGAATTCCACATAAACACAGAACATCACACCAGTTTGCCTTGGGCCAAGTGGTGGTATGCTGAGCTCTAAACAAGCATACTGTTTGGTCAAGAGAGAAGCAGATAATGATTCTGAGGGATAAATGATGCTCCTGTGAAGAGACTAGAAAAGAAAAACTACTTAGGGAGCTGCCGAGGGCCATAGGTATGATATGCTAGGGAGGGGACAAATTCCCATTTTTATCTTTAATATTCTGAAATATTAAATGTCACTTCTATGTTTAATGATTTTTTTGTTTGTTTGCTTTCTTCATAAATGGTCTCATGAATCATGTAGCCCAGGATGACTTTTTTTTTTTTTTTGAGACAGGGTTTCTCTGTGTAGCCTTGGCTGTCTTGGACTCAATTTGTAGACAAAGCTGGCCTCAAACTCACAGTGATCCGCCTGCCTCTGCCTCCTGAGTGCTGGGATTAAAGGGTGAGCCACCATGCCCATAGAGGATGATCTTAAACTTCAGATCCTCCTGACTTCACCTCCCAAGTGCTGACATTACAGGCATATGCCATTCACTGTGCCAACCCTTTTTTTTTTATGTTCTGAAGTCTCCAATTAGTTTTGTTTGACAAAAGGCTTTTTCTGAAAAAGCTAAAAGCCACTGGCTTAGAACAGGTCCTACAAGGCTCCTCAAGGGCCCACAAAGATACCTAGCAAGCAGACCAAAATCCTAACCACCAAGGTTAGAAATAAGCAGCCCAGCTTATCCCAACTCAGCAGTGTCCAGGAAGCAAAAAGGAACAACATGGGTCTGGGTGACACATAAAAGCATGACCAGAAAGCATGATGCTTCCATTCCTGAACACACCACACCTGTTCCCTTCAGTAGCAAGGCTTCCATCAGATAGCAGTCATCACCAAGATATCTGATGAAGTTGCAGAAAGCATTATGTTGGACTGTGCACTCTTATAAACTCCTTCTGTTCTTCCTTATCACTTCCTCAATTAAGACATCTGAAGACTTGGAACTTCAGAGAACTATTGTTAAGGGGAAAAAGCAGGCTCTAAAAAAAGGAAACTCATGGCTGGTGGGTAGAGAGGTGAGCATTGAAAGGATGAATACAGAAGGGGTGAAGAGTGGTGAATATGATAAAAAATATACTGGATGAAATCTATATAAAGTAGACTGCATTTTAAGACCATACAGTCTTTAAAAACAGGCTTCTTCAGCTTAGTTATTTATTACCACCTGTTACAGCCACGTGTCAACACAGCTACCCATGACCTGTGGCTCTGTAACTCATTTATCTTTCCAAGAGGCTAAGCAATACAACTTTTTATCCTAATGAAGCAAAAGTTAGAGACAAAAATAAGCCAAACTTTTAAGATTCAATGAGATATTAAAACAAAGTTTCTGATTTTTTACCAATAACTAAGCCAGTGTTTAAATAAATGCATTTAAAAGGACAGGAGAGGTTCAAGGCTCTTGGTGAACTTCCAAAAAAGACACCCTGCTTCAACCCCAGGAAAGTCCCCATCACACATCCAGGTGAGGTGGCATGAAGCTATAATCCCAGTACTAAGGAGGCAGAGGCAAGAGGATCTTTTTGTGTGAGGAGTGAGGCCAGCCGGACTACATGGCCAGAGCTACAGAGTAAAACACTATCTTAAAAAAATCAAATGTAACCCCCCCAAATCCTAAAAACAGTGACCTAGTATAGTCTGGGTCTTTACCTCTGAACATCATAGTTGGCGTTGAAGAGGCTGCCCTGCCACAGGCTGGTGATTTCCTCTGTCTCCTTCTCGGTGGGGCTCCCTGACACAGTGACAAACATCATCAGCGTCTTCCCCTTCTTTGTCATTTTCAAGATACTCTCGGGCTTGCCTGGGTCTAGCTTTGAGAAGTCAACGGGTGCAGAGGGTCTCTTGTGCTCTGGAAGGTCTCCTTCTTCTATGTCATCATCTTTCTGCCAGGAGAGAGGGAGCATTAACTCTTTCATCAGAGACATTCTACTCGCACAGGCACTGCTCAGGATGCTCACGACCAAACTACTATACAAACAAAAAGCCTGAGGATATCCCCTTGGCACCACTCAGGGTTCCTGTGTCAGATAGGTTTCTATGATGTTTTTGCTCTCAATCTACCCAATGTGGTAGACTATAAAAACAGCCACATTCTGGTATGGTTACGGATGCTACCTAGCAATGAAAATCAAACACACATACAACAAACCTTAAATACAGGCATGATGGCTGAGGTCTATAATTCCAGTGACTCACTAGACCAAGGAGAGAGACGGAGAATTCAAGGTCAATAAGCAACTTAGCATGACCTTGCCTATAAAATAAATGTCTAGGGATTTGGCATAGCGGTAGAGTAAGGCCAGGCATGTGTAAGGCCTTGGAGCCAATCTCTAACACCACTAAGACAATTTTCTGTTTTTAAGTAACAGATGACAGGTATAGAAGTAAGACACACTATACAATCCCATTTATTTAAAGTAATAAGAACAGGTAAAACTAACGTGGGGTGACAGAAAATAGAACAAAATTGCCTCTGGGAGGATATGAGAAAGCACAGAAAAGAACCTTTTGGTGTGCTGGTCTGCAATCCCAGCAACTCACTCAGTTCTATATTCCAGTAAGGTGTAGTTACACTATTCAAAACTCATTGTGGGCTCAGTGGCAGAGTGGATTTCTAGCAGGCCCATCCTGGGTTCCATCCAGGAGCAAAACACACTCCTTGTGCTGCATACTTAAAACCCACAATTCACCACACACAAATGTTCAATCCCAGATGGCAGGCCTATTCTAGGCAGTGGCGTGACGTGTGACCTAGCAATTCTAAAAGCACCTGTGAGTTCTAGGAAGGAGCATAGGTGTAGATATGCTGAGTGACTACAGCAGATTCCTCACTTGGAGAAATATGCAAACATGGAAGCAGGAAGAATGTACCTTGTGGGAGCAGACTGGATTTACAGGCACAGATTGATTTGACAGGTAGTTAGATGAGTGAATCGATAAAAAATATTAAAATGTAGGTCCCTTGAAGAAAGGCCTAATCATTGCATGGAAACCAAAAGCAAAGCCTTCAAATATCTTTCTGTATCAGAAAGAATTGCTCAACAAATCATACAACACATCACAATGACACGGACACCAACCTAAAGCAGTTCAAGTGCCAAATCTGGAATAATACGAACATCAAAATAATAGTAAGATTTATAACTCCCCAAGTAAAGTCCATACTGACATAAAGAAATGACAGAGAAAAGAGAATGCATTATTAATGGTAGAATATTAGTAAATAGCTGAAAATAATAGAATAACTAATAAAATAATGAATAGAAAGAATGTACACAACAGCTAGGCAAATAAAAATCCCCAAAGGGGCTGGTGAGTTAGCTCAGTGAACAAAGGTGCTTGCCTTGGCACACATGATGACCTGAGTTCAATCCCCAGGACTCATCGGGTGGAAGGAAAGAACCGGCCACCCACACCTAACTTGTTCTCTGACCTTCACATGCATGCTGGGGCTTGCTTACACAAAATAAGTTAGTGTCAGTTTAAAAGCTGGGCATGGCCTCTCAGGCCTCTAATGCCAGCACTACGGTTGGAGGGGGAAAAGGCTGGAGTCTGCTGTCCACCCACCCAGCTTCGGGTTCGGTGGGAGAGGCCACCCCATGGAAATAAGGTGGAGAACAACAGAGTAGGAGATATGCCAGACAGTTGCACATCACAGCCAGGTGCGTGCAGTCTTAGCTCCACAGCTGTCTGCAGACAACAAAGCTGAACTCTTTTCTTCTTTCAGGGGCCTTGGTAAAAGCTACCATGAATAACTAGAATGTCCCATTTGAACACATTTTATCTCCACCAGCTTAAGTTCTCTACTCAGTGAATTAGATGAGCCTCAACGAATATCCACAATTATTTACATATACACTAGAACACCTAACACTGAAGTTAAATACATATTTCTTGCTTTAAATCCCTCTGGTCTCCACAAAAAAAAATGAAATCACATCTGAATTTCCTGGGCCGTTGGGCCTCAGCATTCAGTTGTAACACAGGGTCCTCCCCTCCACGCACAGAGGCAGGGCCCTCAGGAAACAGTTATGCTGTCAGGGTGGAGTCGGGGCACACATTGCAGGATTTCATCCATGCAGAAGAACCATCTCCTCTCCGAGGAGAACCAGGGCTGCTGGGAAGAGAGCTCACATCTGTACGGAGGCTGGGCAAAGTGAGGTAGGTATTCTCTGGTCTGGGTCTACAGAGACAGAAGAAGAGAGTCACACACTGCCCGATGGGTAAAGCTGAGCAGTAAATGTGGGTTTTAAGATCACATTGCTCGCTCCTGCATCATTCGTACAAGCTTTGGGCTTCATGATTAACTTCCTCATTATAGTCCACCTGCATAGTGTTCTCTGCTACGTGGAGCAGTACAGCCCCACGGTCGAAGAATAGGCTCTGAAGTCAAACGACAGAATGCCAAACTGCTGCGACCCTGGGCAAATTGCTTCTAGATGCCTCAAGGTCGGAGTTCAGGAAGCTAAGCCTCCTCATCAGCCCAGAGAGAGGATTAAAGAAGATACTATGTAGCAGACTTCAGACCCTCCCAGCTCACCAAGCCTTCACTTCCCAGAGTGGCTATCAAATTTCATCCTAACCTTGGCATTCTATCCAAAACACAGCAACAGCTCTGTTTAGGGCACATTCTGAACTTGCTCAAAAGTATAGCTAGAAAGATGGTACATGGAGAAATGCTTAATAGCTATCAGAACAACTTTTAAAGTCCATTTATACTCATTACAGCTATTAAAATTATGTTTTCATGAGGACAAACTAGAAACAGGGTTAGAGGTAAGTAAGCATGGATATCTAGTGCTATAATATCTGGATAAGACAACTTTCATCCATCAGATCCACCCATTTACTTCTAAATACAGTGCAAACCCTATGGTATTCCAGACCTCATGGCCGGGTTCCCAGCCACCTTCATACATTATTAGTTGGCTTCAGACAGAGCCTGCTTCCCTAGCCTAGATTAATTAGCTCAGACACTGATTATGAGTTGTATTCTCCCGAGTCCTCCCTGTTTTCTCTGTTAATAGTTGTGACAGCAGTTTGGGATGAACAGCAACACTTCCATTGTGCATATAAGGAAACGAAACCACAAGCACTCTGTACCAGACCAAAGTCACAAGTCTAAGTGAATTTGTCTATACTGACATAAAAAAAGAATGCATTACTAACAGTAGACTATTAACTAATAAATAGAAAAATACATACAACAAAGAGACAAAAATCCCCAAAAGGGTTGATGGGTTGGCTCAGTGAATAAAGGTGCTTGCCTTGCGCACACTTGATGACCTGAGTTCAATCCCCATGATCTACCTGGTGGGAAAAAGAACTGATCACCCACACCCAACTTGTTCTCCGACCTTCACATGCATGCTGTGGCTCACACACAGGCACAGAGAGCTCTACCAGACCAAATTTCCTGTACTAAATGCAGGGAATGCTAATCTGCTTGTCTCTGCTTTCCAGACCTGTTCCCAGGTCTCTCTTAGACTTCTCACATACTCTAGCCTGTGTAAAATGCAACCTCTTCCCTGTAGCCTTCTGATGTTCCCACATAACAACACTTTTTTTTTTTTACTCGACTCATCCTCCTTTGTTTCTGTGTACTATGGTTATTTCTTATCCACTCATTCTGACAGATGCCTTACTCATTTCTGCAACCTCCTCTTCCTCAGTGTCTGAGCACTTTCCACATGGCTAGGCTTCCCACAAGACAAGGTTCTCACTTTGGCAGATTAAAAGGCACTGTTTATTAGTACAAAAAAAAAAAAAAGAAGACAGTCTAAAACTGAGGAGAATGGGGGACTCAGTCATACATACCCACTCAAATCTACTCTAATTTTTCTTTTCTTTTGGAGGGGACAGGGTCTCACTGTGAAGCCCAAACGAGTTTTAAATCCAGCAGGTGGTATTTTAAACCTATGTCCAAAAGTCTCTATCACCTTCCAACAATACAGAGTTAGCCACAAGTTAAAACACTGGCAATGGAAACAAACTTTGAAAGTTCTCTTGCAGAAAGAGACAACCTGCCCAAAGTTACACGGTGAGTACAGCTGTGCGATTCCTGTCCATCAGCTGTACAAATCACTTTCGGAAGTTGGAGGAGAGGCTGCAAAGTGCTTTGGTCAGGAACTGCCGCCCCCTCGGCACCTTACTCACGCTCGTTGTGACTGCACACCCAGAGCATTCAAATACGAGATCAGAATAAGCCTTTCACAAAGCAAGTCCACTACTCTGTTGAATGAAAAACCAGAGTTCCATGAGAGGCCTTTAGCTCCCCCTACCAGTAAAATAAATCCGCACCCAAGCAGGAACATACACCAAAAAAGGTCGGAAACACTCTATATTTGGAAGGATCTCTATAAAAGGCCAAAAACGTTCTTCAGAGACCACCTTCTCTACCCATTCACTCCGGAACAGGAAAGGGGAGGAGTGAGGGAACGCTCTTCAGAAACGCTATCTCCCTGTTTGCCGGCTCACTGACCCCCAAGATCAATGTAGAGACCACCGGGATACAGCAGGGAAAGTAGGACTTGACTGGTGTGAGGCCAAGTCCTGAATGGAGTGGCCGAGGAGCCATGGCAATGGTGGACACTGGGCCAGAGGCCTGAACCGTGGTGGAATGAAAGGAGACACGAGCGGTCAGCGGGTACTTGAGACAAGACAACAAGGACCCTGAGCACAGGACAGGGAGAGGGACCAGGGAACAAGAGTCAGAAGGTCACGGGACCGAAGAGGTAAGGGTTAGAGAGAAGGGATCTGTATGGAGGGATGAGGAGTGTGCGGGCGACACGGACCTCCCACTGCTCCAGAAGTCGCGCCATGTCGGCATCATTGTAATCGCGGATGTCCTTCTTCTTTTTCGGTAGAGGCGGGGTGGCCTCGCCGGGCGAGCTGGCCGCAGAGGCCCCGGGAGGAGGGAGCAACAGAAGGTCCGAGGCACACAGAAACAGGAGGACCGCGCGCAGCCAGCTGGAGGCCGCCATGTCAGGCGCCCAGCGTAACGGCTACACGCACACTGGGCCTGCGCAGCAGCGCGCCTGCCCCCGCCCCGCCCCGCCCCGCCCCCGGCCTTCCGACCTCGCCCCCGGCACGTTCTGCGCAGAGCCACGCCCACCCTCGCGGACGCAGGTCCCAGTAGCTCCGCCTCCCTGGCGTCCGTAGCTCACCGCGTCCCGGCTCGACCCATTTCCTCCTCCTCCAGAAGCCACGCTCCTCCTCCCTGGCTCCGCCCCACAGCTGCCTCTCCTTGGGACTCCCAACTTTAGGCTCCTCCCCATAGATCGCCTCATCACCTGACTCCGCCCGCAACACTTCTCCTGTCCACGCCCCCAAGGTTTCGCTCCGCCCTATGGCTCCCGGACCTAACCTGGCTGGGCACCAAGCGTTCCGCCTTTGGCTCCGCCCCCTCACCAGGCTCCGCCCCACGAGCTCCTCCCCTGGGCGGGCCAAGCGGTCTGCCTTAGCCTTCAGGACTATGTTTTTTTTTTGATGTTGGGGGTTCTGTTGGAAATCAGCCTTTTTGTCTCTCATTCATTAGCCAGGTCTGAAAGTTTCCTTAGGGCTTGCAGAAACTGCCAAACAACGTCCTCGAAGTCTCAGCATTTTGGGAGATATGTAAACTGACGACCCTAACGAGGCCCTTTTCAGGGTGTGGACCTTCAACCTCGCTCCCTAGTAATTTCCCACAAGAGAACCACCAGCTAAAAAGCTAAGGGCAGCCAGGGCAGCTTTTCTCAAAGGCTGTAAATATAGGATCTATTGCTGTTCTGCTCCACAGAAGATTTTACCCACCCCATCTTCCAATATAACTGTCAACTAAACACACAAAAAAAATTAAATCATTTAATTGCTAACCATTTTTATTGTTTAAAATAGTTCTAGTTTCTTATTTCCATTTATTATGGCTCTAATCTGTAAGACAAAAATCACTAATTTTGTTTTCTATTTTTCAAGATTTTGACTACTAAACTTTTCAGAAATAAAAGGAAAATATTTGGTGTCAGGGATTCTTTAAAGATTCATAAGCTTCAAGTGGGAGATCTGATTTCTTTAAAACTTCAAATTATGTATAAGACATGAAACTTGATGTAACTGGAAAATATTCAGACAATATAGTTTAAGAACTGATGGCGTCACATAACAGATTCATTTCCAGGTTTACAGATGTGCAAGTATCTCAGGAATGGTTTTTCAATGTTTATATCAGCATATTGTATTAATCACTAAGCATACTGCAGTCCTTGAGTGCTTGTCTCTTTACTATCGTACAGTTTTTGTTGTTACTGTTCTGATTTGGGGTTTTTTTTGTTTCATTTTTTTCGAGACAGGGTTTCTTAGTGTAGCCTTGGCTGTCCTGGACTCACTTTGTAGCCGAGGCTGTCCCCAAACTCACATCTATCACTCTGCCTCGGCCTCCCTGAGGTCAGGGACTAAAGGCGTGTGTCACCACACCCGGTTGGTTTTTGTTGTTGTTTTTTTTTCCAGACAGGGTTTCCTTGGCTGACTGGAACTCACTGTGTAGACCAGACTGGCTTTGAACTCAGACATGTGCTTGATCTGAGTGCTGGGATTAGAGACAGGTGACACCACACCTGGTGTATAATAGAGTGTTCACTATTACATCAGTGTTCAGTTTTGTTTCTCTACTCACGGTCGTTATAACTACTGACCCTTTGCCCCCTTTCTCCACTGTTTGGATGGATATGATTATAGGTTTCCTATAGTACAAATATTTACAAAATGTTTAAACAGATCTTTCTTAGGAATCAGAGAAGTAGGTGGAAATTGAGTGAATTAGGGTGTCCTGGGGCATCCAGCCTTCTTTCTCATATGACCCCAACACACCTGTCTATAGAGTTTACACCCTCAAGGTCATCGAAAGTTCCAGGATGGCTATTGGTGCTCCAGCCTTCAGATGGCATTCCAATCAAAGGAAATGGGAAAGAAGCCTTTCAAATGGGATCAACGGCTCTTGAGCGTCCTATTTGGGAAATGTGTAGGGCACTTTTGTTCTCATTGGCTGGAGCCTCCTCTCCCAGAGAGGCTAGGAAGTTATCATTTAACTGTATTTGCTACCTTGCTACCATCCCAAGTAAAATTAGGCTTGTTAGGAAGGGAAAAACATAAACTAGAGGTTAAGAAAGCAGCAGATTAGTGACGTGTGCCTTATTGTCCTTCACTCTGAAGTCAAACGCAGTGTGTGTTTATTCCCACTGTAATAGTGGCCAGTTTTTCCCATAGTCATGCATGGAAATGTAAAAAAACACAAGACATTCTCTGTTGACACTGTGCAGAAACAACTCAGAAGGAAAAAAAGGAAGGGATTTTTTTTTTTTCTTTTCTTTTCTGAAATCATAGGGGAAATGTCATGAGCCTTCTCCCAGGGGCACATTGCTCCACCCAGTGGCTTGGAGCTCTGTCCTGGCACAGTCATGCTAAAAAACATGCACAGCTGTGGCAGATCATGTGCTCTGCAGGGCGGGGTCACCCTGGTCATTCATTCTGCCAACTGCCAAGGTAAGGGTTTTTTTTGTTTTGTTTTGTTTTAAAAAAATGCTAGTTTTCTTGGCCCTTGATATCTAGTTACAGAGAATAAAAGGTTTTCTTTTTCTTTCTTTAAGTGTTGTACCGCAATTGTTGAAACAAGTTAGAAATTCCAGAGCTACTGACTATCATCTGAGAAGAAACACGTCTGGCTCCTACTTCATCGATGTGAAAACATCTGGAGCAACTACATTTTCAACACTTTGAAACTTCAGAAAGGGTATTTTGGTGCTTTGGAACTTGCTTTAGTTCAACCCTGAAGTACCTTATTTACCAATGGTTTACTATTAGGCAGGTGAGATACAGACAGGAAGGTAATGTCCTTGGTATTGTATAGGAGGCTCTGCAATAGCAGAGGAGGTAAGTCATCTACAGGTAATTCTACAAATCCCAGGAGGTCAGGGGCTAAAGAGATCATACCATGGTTAAGCGTCTGTACTTTCTTTCCCAGCCCCCTCGTCTCTGTGTGTGAGTGTGAGAGAGATTCGTGTGAAGGCCAGAGGTTAATATCTACAGTACTCCCTTCATCGATTCCTACCTAATACATTGAAGTAAGGTCTTTTCTTTAAACCTGGAGCATGCCATTTCTGTTAGTCTGTTTTTACAGATTCCCTTTTTGTCTCCTTGAGGGCTGGCCCACCTAGCTTTTATGTAGGTCCCAGGAATCCGAACTTTGGTCCTCATGCTTGCTCAGCAAGTGCTTCACCCACTGAGCCATCTCCCCAACGCCAGCCCCTGCATTTGTCATGGTTTTGGAATCAACTGTGGTTAAATAGCTGGTATAGCCACGGGACAAAAATCTGGACCCAGGAACACAGGACATGTTCTTCCCTGATGTCTTTCTTCTACAACAGCACCAGCGAGGCTTACAGCATAGTAACACTAGAAGCCACATAGAAAACAGGCTGCAAAGTCTGGAGCCAGGAGAACTCACATGGCCCTGGAATCCAAACCAGGTCTGAGGCAGAGCAATATAGAGTTGGAGGAGGGGCCAGAGGTGTGTTCATGGCTAAATGAAGGGCCAGGCTCTATGTTAAATACCCATCTCCAAGTGCACATTGGGTTTAATGAGAGTATGAGCCTGGGTTCATGCTGCTCTACATACTCCAAAGCAAAGTGGGTAGAGCAAAACCTTCTAGCCCTACATGAAGCCTTATATGAATAACATACAAAACATGAGAAACTGGATGACATAGTCACCAGTGAGGCTCTGGACCTGGTGGGTAGGTCACTGGTGCCAAACACTAACCCTTTAACCATCAAATTGTGGAAAGGCCTGACAAATGGATGCCATCAACACCGGCTGATGACTATGCAAGGCATCAGATACTGGGGAGAGTAGATACCAGCTCTATTCTTCACAGGTTGACAGAGTTGTGGAGGGAGGTAAAACAGCAGTCCCAAACAGCATGGCAATGGTCTCACCCAGGTTCTGTAGACAATAGAAATGAAGGGCAAACATGCCCAAGTATGTCTAAAGAGCCAGGACTCTGTGTAAGGCAGCAATAGCCCTACTTAACCTACCAATGACGTGTTATCCTTGCCAGGAATGGTTAGTGTTAGCTGTCTGTGCTGGCTAAATCCTGGGATTCATCTTTTCTCTCACTGCCTAGTAGACAAGGCTATAAAATTATTGGCCTACGCAAGCAACTTCACCAATATAGGATACCCTGGAAAACACTTGGAGGAAATCACCACTCTCCTAGATACTGGAAGCTGAATGCTAAGACATTCCTGCCAATGCCATCACTGGGCCTGTGCTCAGCTTCCTTGCCCACAGGAGAAGCAACAGGGATGATGAGAGCCTGAAGGCCAAAGTCTTGCCCAGGACAGGATCGTGATGTGCCAGAGGGCTAGAGAATACACCAAATAGAAAGGGTGGCCTATTCCATGGTGATTCTGCACCCTAGCTACTAAGGGTCTTTTCTGCAGGAACTGTGATGAAAAAAAGGGATAAGACCACACTCTTCAGCTGTAAACTGTTCTTCTTCAGGAGAGATGTTATTTGTTGTTGATGTTTTTAGGCCAGGTCTCACCTAGCCCAGGTTTGCATTAAACTCTCTACATAGCTGCAGATGATCTTGAATTCTTGATCCTCTTGCCTCTACCCCCCTAGGGCCAGTGTGTGCCACCATGCCTGGCCGAGAGCAATACTCCAAGGAAGAGAATGAACCGAGATGTCTGCAGATGTGTAAGAAAGATGACCCGAGATCGCTACTCACATGTGAGCACAAATGTAAAGCCAAGAAACACAGCATAAAGAGAAGATGTGGCCAAGACTGCTCTTTACCAACCACTGGGTGGCACTGTATACCACAGACAGCTTGGTTGCTGGTCCACAGATTCTGCAGTATACCACGAAACTCGGGTATAAATATCCAAAGTACGTACAGGTGAATATTATTTCCCCTAAAAAGGAAATTTGACATATTATAGCACTGACGAACCTTAATGAAATCAGACAGGCACAAAAGAAAAGAGTACTTCAAATAATCGAGTTCGTGGACAAAGTTGGTGACGGCCACGACTAGGAGAGAATGAAAATGTGCTACTTCATGGGTAGAATGTCAGGGAAGATGAAACATTTCTGAAGCTGGATGGTGGCTGGGCACAGTCCCCCGCAGTTACAGCAAGTCAAGAAAGAGCGGGGCATTTTAGATTTGGTTTCCACTGCTTTGGCCAGCAAGTCACCTGTGCTTCCTTAGCACTGGTCAGAACGCACACGAGTCTGCCCAACTTGACCAAAAAACTTAGTGCGCAGTGCCCAATACCATGTCCGTTTTGTTCTGCGCTTTCACTGTACAGACAGTAACTGGGAGTACTTCCTAGACTAATCTTCATGGGCAGAGGCCGCCCAGCAACATCTATTACGCAAGCTCGGTGTCTTGAACAGGGGCTGGCACATGATTGGTGCTCAGTGTTTGAGCGATGAGAAAACAATGGCAGGAGGCAAATAAATAAATAAATAAATGGCAGGTGAAGGTAGAACCTGGAAAGATTACTTTAGGAAGAGTGGTACTATCTGAAAAATGAAGCCTTGGTGGCAAGCACCTTTGCTTGCCAAGCCACCTTGCTGGCCATTCCCTTAAGATTTTAAAACAAAGGAAACTATGCCTTAGTACTAACTGCTATTCCTGGGTTACCATGGAAAGAGTCTGATCTTCTTTTCCCATGCAGAAAAAAATATGGCGTAGTCCTACAGAATCACTCGTTAGAGAGCCATGGGTTTTACTGGCTGCAGTTTGCAAAAAAAAAAAAAAAAAAAAAAAAAGTTGGTTCACCTAGAATCTAGAGGATCTACAAAGACATTTTTTAGTTATGAGTAGGGTGACTATCCATCCAGGTTTTTATCTGTTGTCTCTCCTTAACTTATATTAATAACTTGTCTCATAGTTCACTCTATAAACTACTCGGGTTTGGACAATAAATCTGAAGGTCATCCAACTTATAAATAACATTTATAACCGTCTGAGAAATGATGACGTGGAGGTCCTAGGAAGGGAAAGAAGAACAAACATTTCCATTGGCTGAGCACACCCAGCTGTCCTTGTGCTGGGCACTAGCAGTAGGCTTCGGGACCGGGACGGTAGAAAGCGCATTGCTGGGAGGACGCCCAGGTGTTCCACAAGTTTCCTGCAGACAAAGCCTGCGCAATGAAAGGGGGGGGGGGGGTGGCCGTGGCCGGGGGGGGGGGGGACCACCTCTTCTAGCCATCTGTTGTGGTCAGGAGTTTAGTAAGTCATTTCGTCCTCCTGGCCACAAAGCCCAATGGCACAAGTCTGCAATCCCAACTACTTGAGAAACTGAAGGAGGAGGGTCAGAAGTTCAAAGCCAGCCTCCGCAATTTAATCAGACCCTGTTTCCAAAATTAATAAGTAAACGTCCAGCTGGGCTTGGTGGCGTGTGCCTTTAATCCCAGCACTCAGAGGGCAGAGGCATGTGGATCACTGTGAGATCCAGGCCAGCCTGGTCTTCAAAGTCCAAAACCGCCAGGGCTACACAGAAAAACCCTATCTCAAAAAAACAACAAAAAAGGTCAACTTAAATAAAAAGTACAGTAGTTCAAGGTCTTAGGTTTAATCCCTAGTCATAGGGCGGGAAGCCATCCGGGCCACCCGTTTCCCAGCCTGTAACCCTGAGATAACAGTGTTTACCTCCAGAGACAGGCTCATTACTTAACAATGGCTGCTATTATTCCATTATATAGATGGAGCCGGGGAAAGGGCAGACTGCTGAGCAAGACGCACACTAATTCTAGCAAGCTGGAACCGAGGCACCAGACACTACCTGACTTAGAGAGAGAACTTGGCCAAGGTCACACAACTCCTGGCCGGCTGGGATAAGACCAACCCCAGGAAGGGTCTACCTCTTAGCCCCACTAGCTGCGGGGACTCGTGCTGACCAGCGCTCCTTTTCTTTCACTGCTTCAGGGAAACCCACCCCTAGGAGAGGGTCGAAAACAACAAAGGGCGGGAGAGGGCTTGAGAAAGTCACCAAATCTCAAGAGATTATTAGAATGGGGGCGAGGGGAGAAAGGAACCAAACAAACGGGATAGTGAGCGACCTCCTTCCCAAGCGAACAAAACAGTTCACCTTTTACACTTGCTCCCTCGTCGGGGAGGAAGCACCGAGTCCCGGGGCAGGCTGAGAGCTTACGTAAGGCCACTCGAGTCTGCGCCCCGGTGTCCCCAGGGTGTGCGCAGCGCCTGGGCGCGGAGCGAGGGCGGGCCTCCCCCACCACACACGCTCCCCAGCCTCTCCGGATGCAGGGACCACCGGCCCCAGGGCCAAAGCGTCGGGGCTGGGCGCGGCGTCCTCCCACGGCCCCCAGCTTCCCGGGGGAGGAGCAGCGCATCGCGCAAGCATCCGGGATCGGCGGAGGGGGCGGGAGGAAGGGCGAGAGGAGGAAGCGGGATTTAAACGAAAGGCGGTGACGCCACACAAAAGATTCCTATAGGCTCCGGGGAGGTTACGGCCGAGGTGGCGGCGGCGAGCCGGGGGCGAGGTGGACGCGAGGAGGCGAAAGCCGCAGCCGGGCGCGGGCAGGCGGGTGTCCCTGGCCTGCGGTCCCCGCCCTTCCTTTCAGTTGCTCGGAGGTCGCTCGGAAGTTGCTGGTTGACAAACATGGCAGGAGTCGGGGCCCTGGTCGGCCGCCGCGTTGCCGCGCGCACCTTCTGAACCAGCCACCCTGGGGCGTCGGATGCGCGGGGCCGGCGGGCTCTGCTGGGAGACGGTGATGGAGTCGCCACGACAGCCGGTGGCCGGGCGCAGGCCATTCAGGCGGGGAGGGCGTGCCGCCTCGGCGCCCGGCCGCGCACTCTGAACCGCCAGGCGGGAAGGCGCGGCCGCCCAGCACCCTGCGTTGCAGCCTCCCGCCCGACTGACTCCGCGCGTCCGCCACAGAGCCAGCCACGCCCTCGGCCCTGCGGCCGCCCAGCGCCCCGAGAGCCGGGGCAGGAGATGCGGCCGCGCGCCCCTGGGCGTCAGCTCCGGCCGCCGTCGCCGGCCAGTACCGCCCGGAGGGGTCGCCGCGCCTGAAGCCCACGTGCGCTGCTGAACCGGGTCGCCGCAGCGCAGCGGCTGACAGCAAAGCCTGCCGGGGCCGCCGCCCGCGCTCCTCCAGGAGCAGAGGATTTTGATTTCAAAGGAAGGAAGGAAGGAAGGACAACTCCCAGCCTCCCCGTCCCGCCCTCTCCGCTCCGGCGGCCCGGCCGGCCATGCCCAGGAAGGCGGCGACAGCCCGGCAGCGGGGACTTTTCTGGTAGGCTCGTGGTGAGGGGCGCGGACTAGGAGTCTGCCGTGCCCCGACTCACGGTTCCCGCGAGCGCGCGCGCACAGCGCCCCGAAGAGCTTGCCGCGGGCTTGGGCGCGACGCCCGGCCCCCGGCCGCCGCCACCCCGCTCTCTGTGCCCGCCGCGGTGGGTGGCATGATGGTGCGCGGAAGGCAGCGTGGCCCTGGCCAGCTGAGTCGCGGCGGCGGTGGTAGCGGGCTCCCCAGCGGCATGCCAGTGCCCCCTGGGCGCGATGGCTAGCGGCAACGCCGGGAAGCCCACTGGCGAGGCGGCTTCTCCGGCTCCTGGGAGCGCCGTCGGCGGGGCCAGCTCGCAGCCGCGGAAGAGGCTGGTGTCTATCTGTGATCACTGCAAGGGCAAGATGCAGCTGGTGGCCGACCTGCTGCTGCTGTCGAGCGAGGCGCGGCCGGTGCTCTTCGAAGGTCCCGCCTCCCCTGGCGCTGGAGCCGAGTCCTTCGAGCAGTGTCGGGACACCATCATCGCGCGCACCAAGGGGCTATCCATCCTCACCCACGACGTGCAGAGCCAGCTCAACATGGGCCGCTTTGGAGAGGCGGGGGACAGTCTTGTAGAACTGGGGGACTTGGTGGTGTCGCTGACCGAGTGCTCTGCCCATGCGGCCTACCTGGCAGCAGTTGCCACTCCGGGCGCTCAACCTGCCCAGCCAGGCCTTGTGGACCGCTACCGTGTGACACGCTGCCGCCACGAGGTGGAGCAGGGCTGTGCTGTGCTGCGAGCCACCCCGCTGGCCGAAATGACCCCTCAGCTGCTGCTGGAGGTGTCGCAGGGCCTGTCTCGAAACCTCAAGTTCCTGACGGACGCGTGCGCCCTGGCCAGTGACAAGTCACGGGACCGTTTCTCGCGCGAGCAGTTCAAGCTGGGCGTCAAGTGCATGAGCACCAGTGCGTCGGCGCTGTTGGCGTGCGTTCGAGAGGTGAAGGCGGCACCTAGCGAGCTGGCCCGCAGCCGCTGCGCACTCTTCAGCGGGCCCTTGGTGCAGGCCGTGAGTGCTTTGGTGGGCTTTGCCACCGAGCCTCAGTTCCTGGGTCGAGCAGCGGCTGTGAGCGCCGAGGGCAAGGCGGTGCAGACCGCCATCCTGGGGGGCGCCATGAGCGTGGTGTCAGCCTGCGTGCTCTTGACCCAGTGCCTCAGGGATCTGGCGCAGCACCCGGATGGGGGCGCCAAGATGTCGGACCACAGGGAGAGGCTGAGGAACTCGGCCTGTGCCGTGTCTGAAGGCTGCACCCTGCTATCTCAGGCTCTAAGGGAAAGGTCTTCACCCAGGACTTTACCGCCAGTGAATTCCAATTCTGTGAATTAGCACCTCCCCGCCCTCATACCTGTTTTCCACCCCAGGCTAAAGAAAGACACTTACTCCTCTCCTTTCCATTTATACCAAAGAAATCATAGGTGACCCCTCTCCCCGTGTTAAATGCTCAAAAGCAATTTTCCAGAAGGCAGGGCCAAGCACACAACACGTACACACAGGGCCCAGGTGTCTACCAGCCCACTCTAGGGACTCAGATACAGAAGATGGGGGTCTGCTGGCCGCAGCGTTACCCATCCACACTCCAGCCCCTCAACTCGATTACTAATTGGGCAGGAAAGAGGTCATAGGTTCATTTCTTCTTTTTAATTAAAAGAAAGGTTACCTCAGTTTTCACTCCTTAGACATGGATGTAGCTTCCTTTTTGTATGTCGTTATTTTTTTGTTGTTGTTGTTGTTGAATTTAGAGTATACATGGTGTGAAAAGAGTATGACTTTGCCCTGTGATTTGCAAGTGGGGGGAAAGCTACTGTGAGCGTGTGTTTTATTTTTTAATTTACACTATAGAGTGATTCCCCCCCCCCCCCCGCCCCAATGTCAAGTTTTTACCCTGCATGTACTGGAGTATTTATTTCATCTATTAAATTGTTATGTTTCTCAGATGGCTTCTTGCAGTTACTGTACTTTCACTAACTGTGCATGCTGCCTGTCGTCTGTGGGAAGGAGCTGTGGGGAAAAAGTGACTCCCCAGCGCCCAACCTTGTCCAGTTTTCCCTCAAGAATTACTCTTCCGAACACCTTGGAAAGACAAATGTATGTGATCTTTTTTTAAGGGCAGCGGTGTGTGATTGGATTCTGCAGTGCTTGGGGGTGGGATGTTAGTGGGGGTTTTGTCTTCCCTCTAGCTTTTCTGGAAAGTAATTTAGCTCTCTTTGTCCTCCACTCATCGCACTAGCATAATGAGCCATGGTTCAGGCTTACTGAAGTCTGATTTGTATTCGGCCTGTCATTTTCAGATTAAAGCACTTCCTAATACTGTGTGGGATGCAGCCTTGCCAGCTCACGGGATTTCTGCATGAGACTTAACAGCACTGTGTATCACTTGAGTTCATTTCGCATCTTTGGGGAGGCTAGGCCCTACTCAGAAATCTCCGTCTTTACGGAAGAAGGCTAGAAGGTTCTAGGCAGTTTGGTAGAGGAGGATGTCTCCTGTAGAGTGTTAAGAACTTTCTAGAGCATAATTGCCAGCAGAGGGCTTGTTTTTGTGACCTTGATTCAAGTGGTTGGTGGTGTATGGAGAGAATATTTTGTTGATTGAAAATTATGTCAAGGCGGTTTGGCTTTTCTGTAGCTATGTAAAGGAATTTGGGATGGGCTTTATAAGGGAGTGTGCAGTTTGCTGAAGACACTGATGGATAGTTTCCTATTAAAAGGAACGACAAACTTATTTAGAGCCTTGAAGCCTGGAAAAGCCACATGCACAGAAACTACAGGCTTTAAGTGTGTCATTTACTATGGGGCAGGAGTCGGTTATTGTGCTTAAACCTTTACGGTGCCTACAGATCTGAAGAGTTTCCACCATAAAATATTAGAGTGAAGAAAATCATATTAACGACTTTGCCATGTGGCTGTATTTATTGCAAGAATATGCAATTTAACTTACAAAATGATCTTTTGTCACACTTCTTAAAAGCAATGTTTCTTAAAAGTAATAAGGTATTTTTTATATACAGTGGTCAGGGAAAAGCTGGCCATGGTGGCTCACACCTGTAATTCCAACACTTAGGAGAGTGAGGTAGAAGCATTGCCATGAGCTTGCAGCCAACATGGTCTGCCTCAAACAAAAAGATAAGAACTGGTCAGAGGAGCAGTCATTTTTGTTGTTGTTTTGTTTTGCTTTTTCTTTCCAGTCCTACAAGAGTAAACTATTAAAGTAACCTTGAGTGTTTTCATTCTCCCTGTTCTTTTGTAAAGTTTAGTCTAAATTGGGTTCAGGGGGATTGAGGAGAGGGGTGTCAAAAAGTCCTGTGTGCATGTGGAAATTATTTCTATTTATTGGATTTACGCAAATAATGATAAAATTTAAATTTTGTATGGTTCCTTTAGTCTGCAAATCACAGAGTAAACTCAAAAGAATTAAAGACTAGAAACCTGTAATTTTGATAATTAAGAAAAAAGAATTGTTTACTCTTGGACTCACTTCTTAAAGAAGAAAAAAAAAAGACTTTCCCTGTCTTCTTGCACAACATTAACTAGCTTATCTCCAAATTAAATTTGACACTGCTCTCTCTCACAGACAAGTGACAGTTGCTCTCAATGCTTATGTGTACGTGAAGGTTTCGGTGTGTAAAGTTAAAGATCCCTGTCCCTAAGAAAAGTGACACTGAACTTCTTTTATCTCTTCTGCTTCTGAGGGTTGGAGTTTGTCCAACAGCAGGTGTCTTGAAATTATCTCTGTCTTTTCAGCAAGTTTTTAGAAGACAGAGTGAGGAGCACACAGCGCTGTCCTGTGTGGGTCTGCAGTGACCGATTAGGCAAGGGACTTTGGCACAGGTCTTTGGCATTCTAACTTTCTCCCAATGTACCAGTACTTCCGAACCTCTTTTTTAAATAGTCCCTGATTTTTTTTTTTTTTAAAGAAGTACATCAACCTATTTCATAATAGGGTGTAATGAGGTCAGCAGAGTTACTGGTTCCAGGAATAAAATCAGAATGGCCTCGTTTCACTTTTCTTTCTTCTTTTTTTAAAGTATGTAAATTAAACTTCAGAATTATTAACTTCAAGTCCATCCCTGGGTTCTTCTGACTTTCCAGGTCAAGGTTTGTTAAGTCAGGCTTAATGCAGACCGTCCTTTCTGATCAAGAGATGTCAAGAACCTTCTTAGGAATGCTAAAGAGAAGAAGGAAAAACAGCTAAATTCTGTGAACAAAAGCCATTCTCTATGACAGTTAACCCAGGGAAATGGGACAAAACAGGCTTTCAAGCATTACCAGAAAAAAAAAAAATCACAAGACAAGAAGCCTTTCTCTAGCAGTTTAAATTTTGGCCTTTCTTATTCATCCCGAGTTCTTGGTAAGAATGCGAAATTTGTGTGTGTGTGTGTGTGTGTGTGTGTGTGTGTGTGTGTGTGTTCGTTCTGTCTGGGTCTCTCAGCCCCTATGATCTTTATAATTGTGTGTGTGTGTGTGTGTGTGTGTGTGTGTGTGTGTGTGTGTGTGTTCGTGTGTTCGTTCTGTCTGGGTCTCTCAGCCCCTATGATCTTTATAATTCTGGAAACATCAGTAAGTGGCTGAATAGTGGTTATTTTTCACTTTTCCTTTAAAGTTGGTATGGGGATCTGAAGTATTTGGCAGTTTGAGACAGCTAATTTTAACAAGAACACCTGTTTTTCTGCATGAATGCAACTGGTGAACAGGCAGAATGACAGGGGTTGGACAGAGGACCTCCAAAGTTATCAACCAAGTGTTGCACAGAGACTGAGAAGACTTGGAGAAGAAATCCACAGACTTAGCACCTCCGCCTGGGGCTACTTCCTGCCTTGACCTTTGGCTCTAGTAACTAAAAGTTCTTAGGGAGAGCTGGGTTTTAAGGAGGAAACAGACACTTGTGCTCCGGGCAGATCCTCTCAAAGTATTACTTTGTGTAACTAATTGGTCCATTTTGCTTAAGCAAAGTTTCTGTGAGTAATCTGTTTCCCCCACGATGATAAAAGGCTCAAAAACTAGTCTAGATACAACAAGGAAAAACGGCTATTAGCATGGGCATCTGTGATTGGGGTCAATTTAACAGAGTGGTGAACCCATTAAGGTCAGAGGCTATAATGCCTGGCATGTATGTATTTTGGTTTTGGAATAAAAACTAATAAAATGCCTGCAATAAGTTTACACAAGCAAGTAGTGAAGTAGTTCCTGGTAGTGGAAGTTATGATGGTCACTAGGGTACAACTAGTACCCTAGTTAGTGGTACATGCTATAGACTCAGAACTGCTGTATGGTCCAAGGATTAAACTATCATGGATGCCACCTCAGCTTTGTTCAGTAGAAGCTGTCTGTATTGTATCTGGCTCTCCAGGTAACTGATTTATGCCCAGGTTGGAGACTCCCTGCCGTATGGAGTGTTTAATATTTAATATTTCTTAATACTTGTTTTTCATCTTTAAATCCAGAATACATCACTTGTGTATCAGAGGGCACCGTCATTTCTGTGAGCTCTTCCTTTGCTCTGGAGTAGTTTTCTCTTGGGGTATTATGAGGTTAAACTTAGGTCTTTGTATATGGTAGACAAGGAGTCTGCCACTGAGTTTTGTCCTTGGGCCCTAGAACTTTTCTTTAGATTGATGTTTGAGGATATGTGTGTGTCATGTTTGTTTTGTGTGCATATGATTTGTGTGTGTGTGTGTGTGTGTGTGTCCAGTGTACACATACCACAGCTTGCATGTGGAGATCAGAAGACAATGATGACAATTAGATCATCAGAGTTGTGTAGCAAGTGATTTTACCCTTGGAGCCATCTCTTGGGCTTGAGAACTGTGTGTGTGTGTCTCTGTGTGTGTGTATGTGTGTGTACAGATACATGCATATGTGTGAGTGTCTAAAGTAGAGTTCTCTTCCCTCTCTCCACTCTTCGGAAATAAACTGAAGCAATACAACAGTAAACTAGCAAAGTGGCTTTCCGTTGTTACCTATTATCTCTTGTCCTGGAAATAGCAAGGGGAATTAAAAAGGAAAAAAAATCAACCTGTGAGATTGTTGACCACCACCCAAGAAAAAAAACACTTCTGAGTTGTTTTTTTTTTTTTTAATAGTTTTTTTAAATTTTTTTTTTTTTTTTTTTTTTTTTTTTTTTTTTACTGTATATGAGTGTTTGCATGTATGTATGTGCACCACATGTGTGCCGAGTGCCTAAGGAGGTCAGAAGAGGGCATCAGGTTCCCTGGAACTGGAATTATGGGTGGTTATAGTCACCTGGGTCCCTGTCCCCTGTGAGAGCTACAGGCGCTCTTAACTGCTGAGCCTTCTATCTAGCCCTGGCTACTGAGTTTATAAAACAACTTTTTACATTTTAGTTATTATATTATTTACAATTTATTCACTTTATATCCCAGCTGTAGCCCCCTCCCTCATCTCCTCCTAGTCCCACCCTCCCTCCATCTTCCTCCCCTATCCCTCTCCCCTAGTCCACTGATAGGGGAAGTCCTCCTCTACTGTCTGACCCTAGCCTATCGGGTCCTGTCAGGACTGCCTGGATCCTCTTCCTCTGTGGGCTGGCTAGGTCACCCCACCAAGGAGAAGTGATCAAGGAGCAGGCAACCGAGTTCATGTCAGAGACTGTCTCTTCTTCCCGTACTGGGGAATTCACATGGAGATTGAACTGTCCATGGGCTGTATCTGGGCAGGGGTCTATGTCATATCCATGCTTGGTCTTTGGTTGATATATCAGTCTCTGTAGTACCCCTCTGTAGCTACCCTTTGTAGCTTTTCTGGCTTTGTTGTATCTGTTGTAAAACATCTTATACTCACAATAACTTCTGTGCAGACCTATTCCAAAGTGTACCTTAGGGTATTTGTACTGTACTGTATGATATCCTCAGCAGATAGAGGCTCTTTAAGGGTCATTAGACTCAAGAGGTAGAGTTGCCTTTAAAAAAAAATCACTATTTATGGGACAGTGGTGGGAGTGGGGACTGGGACCTGAAGCCAACACTCACATCTTCCATTACTCAGAGGGTACACAGGATTTCAGCCATACCCAGCCCCAGCCCTGCCTGGTGAGAACTGCTCTTT